GTGCCGGCCGGGACCAGCCCCGAGGTTGGAGGGGCCCCCAAGGACAGCCACAGGCTCCACCTGGCCTTATGTAACCAGGCCGCTCCAGAGGAACAGCGGGGTGGGCCTCAGCACACAGCCCCGAGACAGCTGGGACTCAGACCCACACTCACACGGGTGCCGCCCAGGGACAGGCGTGGAGACCCCGTGGAGGCATCAGGCTCCACCTCCCACATGTGACGCTCTTCAAGGCTTCCCGCAGCCCTGCCATACTGCAACTGCGCAGGGAAGGAGGCTGCCCAGTCGCGGGGTGCCCATGAAAGGTGCCCATGCAGGGGCGGCCGCATGCTGGCCCTGCACGCAGGGCAGCGTGGGGAGGAGGCTGCGGCACAGTGCTCTGCCCGCGGCCGAGGCCAGACCTCGCAGCCGGGTGGGGACACTGAGGCTCGGAGCCCCCGCCTTGCTCGGGCACGGAGTGGGTCAGCAGCGGGCCAAGAAGCCACACAGGGCTCCAACCCCAACATCCAGAACGAGGCCACAGCAAGCAGCCCTGAGGGCGGCCTGGGTGGACAGGGTGAACCAGGCGTCCCAAGCAGGGTGCCTCTGCCCCGCACGGCGCTCTCCGGGGCCAGCCTCCCTCCAAGGAGCCTGTCTGCCCCATGGCCGCCCACACCCCCCTCAGCCCCGCAGCCTCCAGGGCCGCCGGCGCGCAGCCTGGTGCTCGGGCACCTGCGGGACTGTGACCAGCTAAGTCGGCGCTCGCCATCGCCGGCTCACAGTCTTGCACGGCAGGTAAGGGAAAGGCCAAGGAGGGCACACAAGCACAACCTCTCAAGAAAGGACCCTGCAATTGCAGAACCTGGGAGGACCGTGAGTTCAAGACCAGCCTCAGCAGCGGAGAGACCCTGTCTCAACAACAAAAACAAAAGCAAAGAAACAGAAAAGGTGACATGCACTAGGGTTGCTTCAAAGCAGCAACTGAGGTGCCAGACACAGGGCCTCAGCTCCCTAACAAGTGCCGGGGCGCCGTGGGCCCAGGAGTCCTGTCACGCCCATGCTGGGGCACAGCAGCCTGGCCTACAGGCCGAGAGGAAACCGGGCGGGCGCAGGGCCCCGGAGGACCCCTGGAGCCACGCACCGCCCCCCCCGGGGGGCAGCTTGGGGTTGGCAGTGGGGAGCTCGCAGCGGGCCTGCGCCTGTACCTACCGCCCCGCAGTGCGTACAGCCCGGGGCTGTGAGAGAAGCAGAGGACACTCAGCCCGGCCACGGGCAGGACACGGCGTCCCCGCTGCGCACCCGGTGACTACACGCACTCCGGAGAGGCCTGGCCCTGTCTCCAACACCCTCGGGGCGGGGGACAGGCCTGCAGCCAGAGGCCCTGGACAAGCAGCCGCCACCCGACTGGCGCCACCCTGCAGGAGCCTCCGCCTCCCCCCACGCCGCTGTCTGACTCGGCGCAGGTGGCCACGCTGTGCTCCAAGCAGACGCCCCTGTGGGCAAATGGAGATGCAGACGGCGACGTCGGGGACAGGAGGGGTCGGAAGCAGCCCCTGTGCCCAGCCTGGGATGGGGAAGCGGTGAAGGTGGCGTTTGCCACGAGCCCTAGAGTGATGCCGTTCCTCCTTGGCGCCCAAAGCAGTGCTGTCTTGCACGTGTGCACACACGTGAGCACATGTTCTCGCATGGGTGTTAAGAGCAAACAGGACACGCCTCACATCCATGTGAGGCCAGTGAGCATGTGCGTGTGCCTGGGCGTGTGCCACTGCAGTGCAGCACGTGACGGCATGCCGCCTGTGTGCACATGTGACGGGCACTTCACGTGAGCTCCCTGCCAGGGGACACTCTTGAACATGCATGTCCACGCATACATGCACGTCTGCATATGCACGCAGCAGCTGTGCAGAGCACGTGTGTGCGCTGGCTGCATGTGTGAATGTGAGTGTGCTCACCCGCGGAGGTGGGGCGCCGTGCTCCCGGCTCTGCTGTGGCCCTGCGAGCCCGCGCCCCCCACAGGCGCCCTGCTGCCCGTCCCCCGCTCTGCCCGTCCTCCCAGCGCTCACATGGGAAGGCACCCTGGGGCTGTGACGGGGAGGTCACCAAGAGCAGTCCAGGTCTCATGTAGGCTGAGCCGGGGCTGGGTGAGAGCCAGGCCTCGCTGAAATGACCAGAGGGGGTGCCGGGGGACAGCCTGGGGGCAGGGGGAAGGACTGCACAGGAAACCCTGGCTGGGAGTGGACGTGGCAGCCAGGCTGGGGTGCTGGCATCACGGCTGCAGAGGGGACAGCCGTAGGCAGAGCCTGTAGGGCACCCGCTGCTGCCCAAGTGAGCGTGGCGGAGGCCTGGGTGGAGCTTGGTCCCAAGAGTCCCATGTATGGGTCACAGTCCCTGGAATCTATCCTGGGGCACCCATGGGCAGATGGGGACAGAATGCCACCTTCTCCCCACCTGGGTCCTCGGCCTGCTAGGGACAGGCGGCACTGAGGGCCCGCCTCCTGCGCCAGCAGGGCCAGGGTCAGGACACCCGGGGCAGCGCGCAGGACGGCGGCATGGCGCACACAGCTTGCCTGGCCGCTGGGTGGGGTGGGGCTGGCCGCAGGAGGGGCGCATACTGACCGCTGGGGGGCTTGGGCCGCGGAGGCGCGGGCTTCTTCGGCGGCAGAGCAGGCGTGTCCTGTTTGCTCTTGAAGGGGTCCTCTGAGAAAGCGGCCCCGGCCAGGGAGGAAGCGAAGGGGCCAGAAGCGGGGGGCTGCAAGAGAGGACAGCGGAGAGGCACACGTCACCGCCGCGCAGGCCGCCGCGCCGCCCGGCTCTCCAAGCCCACCTCCCTCCCCGGTGCCAGGTGGGCAGCAGAGTGGCCGTGCCCTCACCACAGGAGGCGCCCGGCCCGTGTGGGTCTGCCCCGGCCCCGGGTACAGGCTGCCCCGCCTCGAGCGCAGCTGATGTGTCGCCTCACCCTGCGGCTGTGGGGTCCGCGCACACCCCACGTGCTGCCTCCCACCGCCCGGCCAGGGGCACCGGCCCTCTCCACGTCCCCGGGCTGCCACGCAGGGGCTGGGTCGGCGACACCCTCCCCGCTGTGCTGCTGCCCTCCACCCACGGGCTGTCACGTGCCCGCCTGCAGCTCCCGCCGCCTGCGGCCTGGGCCCTCACTGCTCCGATCCCGCGGCTGCCCAGGCAGGAGAGGCCGGCTCCGACAGGGGAACCGAGGCCCAGGAAGGCCAGGCTGGACCTGCACCCTCCTCCAGGCAGGGCTGCCGAGCCTCAGGCCCAGAGGAGCCGAGCACCAGAGCCGGCAGCAGCCACTCCTTCCACAGCAAGGGTCTCAGCCAGGGCAGGCCGGCCCGCACGGAGCTCCTGGCACGGGAGGCGTGCGGGCTCACCACGACTTGCCCAGTTGTGGAGCCCAGTGGCCACACGCAGCGTGGGACCCCAGCTCCGCCACCGCTGTCCACACCGTGCCTCAGTTTCCACCCATCTTTCTTTGCTGCAGCGCTGGGGCTGGACCCAGGACCTCACACAGGCTCAGCCAGGGCTGGCCACTGAGCCGCCGCCTCGCCCGCCCACCTCTGCAGAGTCCGGCTCGGGGCCAGGCTGGCCCTGGACGCCGCCTCCCAGGCAGCTGAGACTGCGCCGTCTTGAACAAGATGGCAGACGAGGCAGCCCTCTCTCCCGCCCTGACAGCAAGAGGGAGGCGATGGGCCAGGGGCGCGGACGACTCGCAGTCACGCCCTGCCGTGCTCCCGCTTTCCGGCGTGACGGCCGAGGCCCTCCCGCATGACCCGGGGAGTGCCAGGCACAGACGATGCCTGAGTGCAAGCAACTGTGCAGCGCCCGCCGGCGCGTCCTGCCCGTTGTCAGTCCACCTCTCCCTGCCTGGACCTACAAGTCACCGCAGCGGAGCAGCGCCTGCAGGGGCCGCGCGGGGCTCGTCCGGGGTCCCAGCTGCCCCGGCGCGTGGCCGCGGGAGATGCCAGGCACACGGCGCGACCAGATTCTCTCTCATCCCTGCAGGGGTCTGAGGACACCCCGTGCACACCTGCCCAGGGGAGGGGACTAGCGAGGACCAACAAGGTCTCCACACTGGAGGAAGAGGGAGAGGGCAGGGGCGTCAGAGGGGATCACGGCCTCCCAGGCTGACACTGCAGTGGCTTGGCAGAAGGGGCGTGGAGTGGGCACGCACGGCCTGCCTACCCGGAGTCGGGCAAGCCCTGGCCATGCAGTATGGCGGGGAGCCCAGCAGGCCCCTCCTCCCAGGTTGAGCGGCAGGATCTGGGCCACGAAAGGGTGCACCGAGCTGGGACAGCTGGTGACACGTTGGTGCTGACGCTGCCTGGGCCGGGCCAGCTGGGTCCTCTGGGGCCAGGCAGAGGGAGCACGAGCCCCAGCGCCTTCCCTCTGAGGCGACCGGCTCGTGTCATCACCTGGCTCCAGGACGCCCACGGCACTTCCCACACCGGGTGGGAGACGCAGGCTTCCCAGCCTCTAGTGGGGTCCGCCTTCCCTCACCCGCGCTGAAGAGTGGCCAGGGCGAGGTGCGGGCGGAAAGGACAGAGAAGGGCTGCTGACACCCCGGCGGGCGGGCTCTGAGCGGCCAGGCGGGCTGCGGCTCGCGTGCAGGGTGCCTAGCGCCCCAGCACCGCAGCGCCAAGGGCCGAGCGGGCAGTGACAGCAGGCGGACGGCGCTGAGTGTGCATGGATGGCTTCCCTGGGCGTGGGTGGGGAAGAGTGAACGTGTGAGCTGGAGTCTTATTTTCGTTCTCGTAGCTCTGAAAACATGTTGGGGACGTGTTTTTAAAGCAAGCTGTGCGGTTGAGGTCAGCGCTATCTCACAACATCTCGGGCGGGCGGGGCGCGGGGGGGCGGGGCGGGAAGCAGCGGGCGCTGGGTGGGGCCACAGCGAGCAGGGCAGCGGGGCCAGGGGAAGCCAGGGGTGCGCCCGGGCACCACGCCCGCTCAGGTGGGGACGTGGGGTGAGCCTGAGGCAGAAGAAAGCCCAGAAAGCAAACAGCCGCCGAGCGCACTTTCATTTCCTCCACGTTTATTTATACCCCGCTGTTGTTCTTGAAAATCAGTGCGTGGCCCAGGGGCACGGGGTCCCGGCCGAGCGAGCACACGCCCCGTCGCCCTGGCCGTGCCTGGAGCAGGGAGCAGGTGGGCGGCTCCCGTCAACCGGCCTGCCCGGGGACAGCTGGACAGCTCGGCCAGCTGGGCGGGAGGCCTCAGTGGGGATGCTCCCAAGCCGGACAGGCTGCCAGTCCTGGTCCTGCTGACCTGCCCTGCAGGCCTAGCCCGGACATGTCCAGAACTGGGTCCCCCTGAGCCCCGTTCCCACGTGGCCCCACTGCCTCTCAGGCGCTGGGAGGGCCCTGGAGGGCAACATAGGCAGGGGGCCCTCTTCAGACCGTGGTGCCGTGTGGGCAGAGTGGGGACACCTCCGCTGGCACTCTGGGGCAGGGCCTGAGGACTCACAGGCTTCTCCAGAAGCCCAGTGCCAACCATAGCAGAGCCCGGGCGGAGCAGGGTGGGAAGGCAGGGCCGGGGACCATGCCAAGGCTGCCCCTGTGCCGGGCCACAGGGAGGGCCCACCGCCTCGTGGAGAGCACAAGCCGTGTGCGCACCGGACAGACGTCGCCTGCGAGCCCCACGCGGCCTCCACGCCACCCCTGCTGCCGGACGCTGGGGAGGGCGGCGAGTGTGTCCGAACCTCACGGGAGGGGCCTGCACACCTGGGCTCCCTGCGGATGTGGGGACGTGCGTCCCCCACAGGGTGGGCCGGCTGCCAGGCCATCTCCTGCCCCAGTCGCTCACACCCACCGGCCTGGGCACCTTTCCCACTGCAACACGGGCCTGCTGTGGCCCCTGCCCTCCCTGAGGGGCTGGGCCGCCCACAGCCCCAAGGAAGAACACGGGCTCCCAGGACCGGATCTCCCTGCCCGGGGGCTGCTGCAGAGGGGGCATGGTGGGGCGCCTCTCAGACAGCCCAGGGACAAGGGCAAGCGACACAGCATGGCACCCCGCCCACAACTTCGCTCAGCGAGGCCCCCAGGTGCTCCAGGCGGAGCCAGCCTGGGATGAAGGACCAGTGGGGCGGGCGTCCAGTCCATGCTGCCTGACACACCGCCTGTGTCCCCGAGCGCTCTCCCGGGACGCTCCCAGGACCCCCCGGAGCTGAGGCCTTAGGTGCGGGTGGGTGCAGGGCCCTGGCTCTCCCAGCCCCCCGGAACGAGCCTGAGCCCGGCTCCAGAGTGGTACCTTGGACATCTGGCTGAAGTCAGCAAAGCCCTCGGCACCGCTGAAGGCCCAGCTCCCGAAGGGGTCCAGGGTCCCGAAGGGGTCTGCAAGGTACAGTCAGTCTCAGGCCCGGGGCGAGCGTGGCGCCAGGCCTCCTGCCCTCCGGCGGTGCCTCCTTCGTGCTGGCCGCTCTGGGAAGGCGCCCAGCACAGCCTCCGGTCCTGCGGGGCTGGTGGAGAGCGCAGGAGGGGAAGAGGAGCCACCTGGTGGCCAGCAGACAGTAGACAGGGTCTGGCTGGGTCGCCCAGGCTGGCCTCATACCTGAGCTCAAGTGATCCTCCTGCCTCAGCCTCCCAAGTAGCTGGGAGTCAGGGCTCAGGAAGAGGCGGTGCTGTGCTTTCTCTGTGATCTGCCCGCACCAGCTGCCTGGCTGTGTGGACACAGAGCTTTCCCAAGCGAAGGGCACAAGCTGCCGGGCAGAGAACAGGGGCCCCAACGCGCCCTGACTCGTGGGAGCTGAGCATCACCTAACTTGGAATCCAAGCACAAGCCAGGGCCTGGGGTCAACTGCACACTCCTCACTGAAGGTCCGTGAGGAGGACTGGGCAAGCAGTAACTAACAACGCCGGGCACAGGGGCCACACCCGTCACTCCAGCACTCGGGAGGCCGAGGCAGCAGAATACATGTTTGAGCCCAGCCTGGGCAACTCAGTGAGACCTTGTCTCAAAGTAGACAATACACGGAGCGAGCACTGCAGCGTGCCGTGAAGGCCCTGGCTTCCTGCCGCTGGGCAGCAAACAGCAGCAGTGCTGTCCCAGAATCCTGCCCACTGTCTTTCAGGAAACTGGCTCTGGCCTCGGGCCTGGGAGGCCCAGGAGCCCTGGGGGCGGCAGAGCCCCGTCCACCCCGTGGGGAGCACCTATGCCCCGGAGGAGCGCGGGAAGGGCGCAGCTCACCTGATCCTTTAGAGGAGGCGCTGGAGGAGAAGGGGTCGCTGGACTCGAAGGGGTCGAGCTAGGGGAGAGGGGTGCATGGTTGGCCGGGCCCTGGGAGGGCAGGTTTGTCCTCTATGGTAGGCGCGGCCACCAGGCAGACCCTCTGCAGTGACCCCCAGGCTGGACAGCCACCGTGGACCCCAGCCAGGTCGGAGCAGGGACAGCATGGCTGGCCTCGGAAGGAGGGCAGGTGAGGCTCTCTGTGGGAGTTGCTCGCCCAGAGGCGCGGCCCAGGAGGCCTGGGTCCAGGACTCGAGCTTGTGACCCTGGTGCTGCAGGTGAGCCATCCAGGGCTGGGGCCCAAACCCAGCCAGCGGCGGGCAAGCCCTGCTCCCAGGGCCGGGGCACCCTGCACAGCCGGGCCACCCTGCAGGGCCGGGGGCCAGGTGTGGATGCAGTGCTGGCAGGGAGGGAGGCAAGGCTGTGAGAGACACAGCAGCTGCTCCTAGTGCCTCGTCGGCTAAGCAGAGGCAGGGAGACCTCTTCATAAAGCAGACCAACACCTCTGAGACGGCCTAACCCCAGACGTCCCCTCCGGTGCGACCATTCAAGGAGAATGCCAAGTGGCCAGCGCACACTGGTCTGCGTGACTGCACGGTGTGTGCTGAGCGAGGGTCTTGCTGTGTGGCCCACACAGCTCTAGAACTCCTGGGCTCAAGTGACCCTCCTGCCTCAGCGTCCTGCGTGGCTAGAGCTGTACGTGTATGCCACTGTCCCCCGCTGTGCGGTGCTCCGTCTGTCTTCTCAGAGGTGAAACGGCAGTGGAGACAGCTCACAGAGAGGAGCTGGGGGACACAGAGGGGCAGATGGGCCCTGCTCCAGCTAACCATGGGTCACTGGGCACTGGCCCTCTGCAGTGGGTGGGCCAGGTGGCTGTCTGGCCATTCAGGAGTGAGCCTGGGCACTGGACATCATGTCTGGAGAGCCCTGGCCAGCATCACAAAGTCACCACAGCACCCTCACCCCACAAGGTGGAAAGGCGGAGCTGGGACTTGCCACACATGGAGGCTGCAGTGGGCAGGACTGCCATCACACCCAGTATCCCTGGCCACTCACCTTTGAAGGGAGGGACGAGGTCTTCGTGAAGGGGTCTGAGGTAAACGGGTCGCTCTTTGGCGGCTTCTTGAAGAAGTCCTCAGGGGCAGAGCCGCGGAATGGGTCGCTTTCTTTGAAGGGGTCTCCTCCAAAGGGATCTGGAAGGCAATCGGGACCCTGAAGGGAAGTGCCCGTGAACGACGTGCCCCAAGACCAAGGAGAGGTGTGGGGGCCAGTGCGGGGCGAGAGCCGCCTGTGCACCTGTGTGGCCCCTGCAGTGACGGGGCCGGGGCCCAGCGCCAGGGCCCCTGAGACAGCGCCTTCCCTGCAGACGAGTCCCCGAGACTCGGGACTGCAGCGCGTGCCCCGCCGTGCGGCCTGCGGCTGGCGGGAAGCGCCTGTGTCTGCTTGTGGCGGGGACCGAGGCCCGCTCTCACGGCCCACTGAGGCTGACGCAGGACTCGGGCACACGGGCAGGCGGGGTGGAGGGCGGGGAGCTGGCGCGCAACCGCAAGTCTCACTGGAGCCGAAGACCTCTTAACAGGGCTGAAGGCCTGACTGATCTGGGGACTGTGGTCCCTGGGGGGCGGGCCACAGGACACTGCACAGAGATGTCCCACATTAAAACAAAGAGACAAAACCATGCCAGGCAGGCAGTGTGGGCCACGGCGCAGCCCGCAACGCTGTCCCCGGGGCTGGGCCTGAAGGGGCCCCAAGCTGGCCTCCTCCTGCACGGCCGGGCCTAGAGACACGGAGTGGGCCTTACCTGCAGCCGCCGCCTGCTGCTCGGCGAAGGGGTCGCTCTGGAACGGGTCACCTGGTGGCACAGGACCAGCTGCTGGGGAGCAGGAGCCAGGACGCCCCGCTCTTCCCAGCCCATCCGCTCTAAGCGGTCCTGGCCGCTCAGGGACCCGGCTGCACGCTGAGGGGGGCAGGGAAGGCACGGCGGGCCCCACCAGGGACAGCTGCTCTCTCCCCCCAGGGCCGTCTGTCCTGGCACTCTGGGGCCCCCAGGTCAAGGCGAGGCCTAACACCTCCCTGCTCCTCCTCGGCCCGCCCCTCTCCTGAAGCTGCTCTGGCTCTGAACACTGTGGGGGACCCGGGCGGAGACAACAGGGCCAAGCGGGCAGGTGGTCGGGAGGGCCCTTCCTGCATACCCGTGTGCGTCTGCGCCGAGAGCGGGCTGGTGGCTACCTTTGAAGGGGTCGGCGCCTTTGAAGGGGTCGGCCTTGAAAGGGTCCTCCGCCTGGAAGGGGTCCGAGTGCAGGTCCTGGGCGTCGTTGCTAAACAACAAGGCTTTACTTTTGAAAGGGTCGTCCTAGAAGGCCACGGAGAGACAGGACAAGCACTGTTACTTCTCACCTAGAGCAAAGGAGACGTCTACGCCTAAGGAGGGGCTCGCTCAAAGCATCGGACACTGAAAGGATCTGAAAAGAAAAGCCACTGAGGCATGGCCTCTGGCCCCTGAGCAGCCCCACACCTGCGCCGTGGCCGTGCCCAGCGTGGCGATGTGGATGGGACGGGGCAATGGCATGGCGCAGGCCTCGGCCTTTGCGCGCTTCCTGCAGCTCCGCCATGGCTCTAAGGTGAGGTCCCACGGAGGGAGATGACGGCAGCGTGTGAGCTCAGCAAGTGACAAGAGAACGCCACCCAGCCTTCATGCGGGCCGCCCTGCACCGCCACAGCCCGGCGGACCTGGCGACAGCTGCCGGCAGCACCAGGGACCCCACTCACTGGCAAGGCAGCAGCGACAGGCATGCGCGGGAGGGCACCGAGGGGACGCAGGCCCGGCCTGCACCAGGGGCAGGTCGCGGAGGGGACGGTGGCCCTGGCTGCTCAGCAGGGGGCTGGCCGTCGCCACAGAACTACAAGTGTAGAAGTGAGGAAGGCCGCACTCCCTGTCCCGTCTGTTTCAGCCAATTGTTAAAGCTTTTTCAGTTCTTTTAGAGCTGGGCCCAGGAGCACCTGCCGATAGCGCCTGCACTCACGAGGCTGGGCGGGGCTGGACTGTGTGAGCTCTGGAGCTCAGGACCAGCCTTGGACACAGGAGTCGGGGGGCAGAGAGTGGCGCCTAGGTGGGTAACGTTAAGTCACTGAGTCAAAAGTGACAACGATGAAACTGTCACAAAGGCGTCCCCAACAACCACGGCACCTGCCTCATTTCAGAGGTGTAACTTCCTCCGTTTCTGTGTCAGCAAATGTGTACCTAGGTGGGCACGTGAAACAGTTCCTAGAGCTCAGCGTGATGGTACAAGCCATGATCCCAGCACTCTAGGAGGCTGAGGCAGGCCGGGCACAAGGTCAAGCCCAGACATTTGTCTCCAAATTGAAAAAATAAGTGAAGTATGTGCCTGTAATCCCAGCACTCAGGTGCCTGAGGCAGGAAGATCACCGTGAGTTCCATGGCTACCTGGGCTATAAAGTGAGTTCGAAGCCAGCCTGGGCTACGTAGCTAGACACTGCCTCACAACAAAAAAAAGTCTGGAGGTGTAGCTCAGTGCAAAGGCCCTGGCGTTCAACCCCCAGTGCCAAAAGAAGTTACACATACATGAAAACACACTTCCTCTGCCAAGCAGCAGGCTGCCCTGTGAGGAAGCAGGGCTCCTGCAGTTACAGCTACTAGAGCGTGCATGGCACTTTGCATTTTTAAAAAAGACACTTATTTCTAGAAGCAAGCAGGCATATTCAAACCAGAAGGAAAAACAGTGACTTCTGAAGAGCATATTTTCACAGTGGGACGTGGGGCTGGGGGGCAGCCTGGAGGCAGGCGCTGCTCCGCTGATCACCACGGCAGGGCTGGCCAGGCACCAGTACTCTGACTCCGAGAACACGCCTAGAGGGCAGGGCCGCTGCGACCGGCGCAGGCGGGGGCTGCGGGTGGAGGCTCGCCCAAGGCTGTGCGCGGCCTGGGGCACCGGAGGCGGGGCTGCCTTTCTCTCCACCTGCCCAGAAAGCACTCCTCACCCGGAAGGAAACCGGGCCGCACCCAGGACGCTAAGCAGAGGGCCTTGAGCGCGTGCGCGCTTGCCACCTGGATGTGGGCGTCAGAAGCTGAAGGCCACGGCCTGCTGTCCCGTCCACCGAGTGCAGTGGGGTGCCGGGCACAGAGAAGTGGCGGGTGGTCCTCCGGCTTGGGACAGCCTCTGATAGAACCAGAGATGGGATGGGCATGCCCCGAGGATGGACAGACAGGCCGGCCCGGTTTCAGAGTGGGCCGCTGCACACGCCTGTCCACAGCCAGCGTCCCCACTGCAGAGGGGAGACCAGCGCCGAGATGCGCCAAGGCAGGGGTGGCGAGGCTCGAGCTGTAGCCACAGTGGGAGCCGGGCCTGTGTGGCCCAAGAAAACCCGCCCGGTGGCCGAGGGCCTCCCTAGCCCTGGCTTCCCCCAGCCCCGCGGGAGAGGAAGAGACACCCGCGGGCTTCCGTTAGGAAGCGTGCTTTTCATTCCATGTCACAGTCTCAGCTGAAAACTTGCTTTTCCGGTGAGGTCAAGGCTGTAACGATGTCACCCAGGGCCACCGCTGGGAAGTGACTGCGCCAGCCGGCACGGAGCGTGTGGACGGAACAGTCCCCGCGCCGAGAGGGGTGCCCCATGATGAGCCTGCCGCAGGAGTGGCGGCGTGCGCAGGCACATGCTAAGATGGTCCTGCCCTGCCAGGGCGATGAGCATACCAGGATGAGCACCGCGTCCCGAGGGACAAGCCAGGGCCAGCCGGGGTTGCCCTCCCACGGGACAGTGGCTGGGGCAGCAGCTCCTGTGGCACAGAGCCGGCGCAGGGAGCTGGGGGAGGGAATGGAGCCCTGCAGCAGGCCCTGGGAGGCCAGGCTGCTGCCTGAGGTCCACTCCCCTGCACTCTGGGGAGCCATGCAAGGGCTGACGGCACACGCAACCTGACCTGTCATGATGAGCTCCCAGGGGGCGCAGTCTCATTAGACGGTGCCCTGGGCAGGGAGCAAGAAGCCAGCTGGGTGGGAGCGAGAGGCAAACCGGGCTGTGGGTGGGCGGCTCCGTGGCAGCGCTGACGCTGCCATGCAGCCCCAGCACCACCAGAGACGGGCAGAGGAAGAGACCCCAAGAGCCCTGCACCCTTGGACCAGGTCACCCTGCACAGCTGGGCGCTGCTCACTGGCTCGGCCCTCCGAGAGAACCACAGAGCCCTGCTCCGGAGCACGCAGATGCAGATGCAGGCGCTGCGGTGACCAGACACCCTGGCCCACGTGTTTATTAAGAAATGGAAACAAACCCCAAGAGGTGCTTCAAAAGTGTATTTGTACAACGAGATAAATACGGCTTTCCCTCCCGACACCGCTACGCGCTGCTGTGTGACGTGCCTGCCGGCGTCCAGGCCCAGGGCTCAGCGGCTACGGCGTAAACTTCACCCGTTCAAAGATGAACGAGAAGATCAGGAAAGGTCAAGAACTTGAAGAAGGGGGTGGGGGTGTCCCTAGCCACCTGCAAACTGTCACTTCACTGCCAACCTCTACGTGAGAACACAGGACACGCAGCTGCAGCCAGTGCCGCAGAAACACACCCCAAGAACAGGAGCAAGCACTGGCGGAGCAGGAGGAAGGCCCGATGCCCAAGCTCAGACGGCCAAGCTGGCGACGGAGACCAGGGAGGAACCCACTGTCTCCGAGTCCACACACGCGTAAAGAGGGCTGGCGGACAGCAGAGAGAGACGGACGCCAGGGCACCCGAGGGGGCGGGCGTGGACGGACACGCAGCCGAGGGGCGAGCAAGCATCAGAAAGGAAGAGCGGCCGTGCTCCGAGCCAGGCCTGAAAGGATCTGCAGAGGCAGACAGGCCCAGAGCGGGGCTCGGGCACAGCCCAGGACGACTGGCAGCAAGGACCAGGGGTGCCCAGGGCCAGCCCATGACAGACAAGGGCTGCCAGGCTGCCGTGGCAGACTCTGCCGTGACATCCAGAGGGGCTGGTGGGTGCTGAGGGCAGCAACCTGGGCTAAAGCGCTGAGGGTGGAGGTGCAGTCACACCTGAGGAGCCGAGATGCCCCAGGGACGCTGCGCGCCTGTCTGCCATGGCAGTGCCCCGCGGACTCGGAGGTGCACACGCGCACGCGCACACCAGCCCCTGCACGCGAGCTCACCCGCCCCGAGCCTGCAAGGGAAGCCCCCGTCCAAGGCGAGTCTCGGCACTGCAGCCTCTGGCCAGGTTGGCCAGGGCAAGCGGCTCAGTGGGCAGCACCGGCCCGAACTCCACCCCAGCAGCATGAAACTGGAAACGCAGCCCAGGGTTACAGAGGCCCGGGTCTTGAGGCTCTGCTCGGGACACGGGGTAAGCGGCCTCCGCACAGAGCCGGTGGGCATGGGGCGGACGGGGTCACTTCACTGCCAACCGTGCGCTCACTCGACCTTTACCATGGCTCCGAAGCCACCCCGCTCGGCCAGGGCGACGCCTTCGCTGAGGGCAGTCAGCTCGGCCAGGCCCGCGCCGTCCAGCGCCTGCTCGTACTGCTCGAGGCTCCGCTGCGCGTCCAGCCGGCTCTCGTGCAGCTGGGACAGCTTGCTCCGCGCCTGCGTGACACACGGGCGTTACGGCATGCGGCTGCACAGGGACCCCAGCGAGCCGGGTACCTGGGGGGCTCAGGTGGGTAGCACATCCACGTCACCAGGTAGACAGGGGACCCCCCAGGCCCCAAGAGGGACCCACATTCACACCAAGGCTCTTGAGTCCTCAAGGACTCAAGACCACACAGGCCCCAAACTCGCCGTGAGCCAGCAGCGTGCCCTCCCACACAGCTGCCGCTGAGTCCTGTGTCCCTCCGCCACGTGCAGCTGTCGTGGCCCTGGCCGGCAGCTACAGTAGCAAGTGCTGCCTGGGTCCTTGTCCCAGGGCTGGCAGGTGAAAGACTGGGGGGGGCCACCCCAGGGACAGCAGTGACAGCACCCGCCCGCTGATCCGGCAGGGCCCAGGCCTGCTCAGTGGGAGGACGCAGGGCACCGTGTGACGGCCGAGGCGTGGTACCTGGCTGATCTCGTCCTGCGTGGACTTGAGCGACTTGATGATGGTCTCCAGCTGCGCGCGCCCGGCTTGGATGCTCTGCTCCAGCTGCGTCTCCTCTTGCTGCAGCCGGCTCAGCTCCGACTTGGCGCGGTTCAGGTCGTCCTCCTGCGACTTCAGGTCGGACTCCTGCGACTGGATCTGGGTCTTCAGCGAGGAGATCTGCAATGGGTCGCGGAGGGAGGGAGCGATGCACACACCAGCACACGGGTCGGACGCCATGCTCTCCCGGGAGCGGTGCGGAGCTCCTGCCCGGAGTGCTGCACGGCTGCTGCCCAGCTCGGGAGGCTGGGACGGGACAAGGGTGAACAGCAAGCGTGCGCCAGGCCTGGGCGACTCGGGGAGGCCGTGTCTCAGGATGCAGAGGGCCGTGGGTGACTCTGCATGCCTAAGGCCCCGGGTCACATGCCAATACCACACACAGGGCACAGGGGACACGCGCAGGCACCGACGCGCCCGTTCACACCCGCACAGGCGGGGATGGCGGGGGCTCCTCCGCTCTCAGGACAGCCCAGCCGGGGCCGCCCACACACCCACAGCCTGGCGGATTGCAGCCCTGCTACACCTTGACCAGGACACGAGGGTGAAGCTGGGCAGGGCTACTCGAGGAGCGCAGCCTGTGCAGGGCCCCGAGGTCGCCTCAGAGCCATCGAGGGGGACACCACGCTCCCTCGGGCTGCGGCCGGGCCGCCGCAGCTCACCATCTGCGTCTCATCTTGGCACTTCTGCCGGACGTCGCTCAGCATGTCCCGCAGCTTGGCCTTCTGCTGGTCCATCTCGTCCAGCCGGTCCTGAGCATCCTGCTTCTGGGCCTCGAGCTCTTGCAGACTGCTCGTCTCCCGGTCCAAGTCATTCTGCAATTCCTGGGGACAGGGTGCAGGGAGGACTTGAGATTGGCATGACCAGGATGTCCAAGGGAGCCCGGTTTGAAAATGCACAAGCCGGGCGTGCAGGCACATGCCTAGCACCCAGCACTGTGGAAGGCGGAGGCAGGACGGTGAGACCCCCCCGTCTCAAACTGAAAGGTGAAGCGCTGGGGTGCAGCTGGCACACTGCAGGCCCCATGCTGCGGCCTGGAGCCGAGGGCTGCTGCACCCACCTGGCACAGATGCTGCCCTGCCGCACGCACACCGCAGCCCTCGGGTGAGGGGAGCCATGCTCACCTGCACCTCGCTGGTCTTCTGTCGGATGGCCTCCTCCTTCTCTCTGATGTCCTGCTCCAGGGAGTACTTCTCTCTGGATTGTGGGAGCAATTCGTAACAGAGTGAGTCAGCCACTGCCACAGCACGCAACTGTCCCCGGCCTTTCTGCCCATGTGGGACACCGTGCTGCCCACGCAGGCCCCCTGTGGCAGCGGGCAGAGGTCTCAGGACCACACTTGTGACCTATTGCCCTAGGTGGCTGCACTGTTTGTACATGAGCTGTGTGTCCCACGTGTGGTAAAACGGAGGCCTCGGGAAGTGGCTAGACCGGGGACTGGGTCACGGGCACAGCCTTGGAAACGACCGGTGCAGGCCTCGCTGGCCTCATCTGGTGACCACGAGACTGGTCACCATGAAGGCAGGCCCGAGCCTGCCCTCCCTTCCATATGCCGGACGGCAGTCACCCAACACCACAATGCCACCCGCCCTTACGACTTCCCAGAGGCCAAGCAGCACCCCCGACCGTGAGCTAAGGAAGCCTTTTCCCTGAAGTGCGTCACGGGTACAGACGGCAACCCTCCCGCCGGGGCAGGCGGCGGGCCTTCTCCACCTGGTGATCAGGCAGGGCACAGCTGTGCCTCCATGACCCGGGGGTGGGGCCACACACGGAACAGCCGTCACCTGGCAAGGACAGGAGCCAGGCCAGGCCTCAGCCGGCCCTGGGCACTCACAGCAGGGTCCACCCCCCGCTACTGGGTGACAAGCTGGCACACATGCCCCGTGCTCCCGTCCTGATGGTGTAGTGTGCACAGCAGCGAGCCCCCGAGTCCCAGACCCTCACTGGCTGACCACGAGCACTAACGACCTACTCCCAGGCGGGAAGAGAGACCGATGACCCTGTGAAGCAACAGACGGCAGCCACCGAGGGCCTGCCCTGCATGGGTGGTCGGGAGGGTTCTTAGGCAGACGAAGGGGACAACACGCAGTGCGGGGTAGGGGAGCCTGGGCAGGGCCAAGGTGCAGTCTGCGGTGGTGTGGGTGGCGGGGCAGGTGCTGGTGGTCCTGTCTGTCCCTCTCCCAGTCCCGCTCCACACCAGGGTGCCTCCCCGCGCCGTGGGGCGGACGTGAGGGTCCAACCTGAGCCACGGCCCACATGTAGCTCGGGAGCCCATGACGGGCGCACTCTCACCCCCCAAGGGCCGGGCCCACACACCTCTGCAGCTGGGCGATCTCCTGGCTGATGTCGTCGAGCTCCTTCACCCCGGTGAACTCCCCAGACCCCAGGGAGCTCGCGCTGTCCTGGGGGCAAACGCAGGTGCCACATCACAAGGGCGGCTCGGAGCAGCGGACAGCACGGGCAACTGCGGGGGCCCGCGCGGCGCCAGCGCCACCTGGTGGCGGGCGTGGGCAGTGAGGTGAGCACGCGCACGCTACTCACCAGGACTGGGGTGCCGCGCTCCGAGGGTGGGACCATGTCCGGCGAGAGCACTTGCGGAGGGTCGATGCCCTTACTGACCTTCTGCTGAATGAAATGCATGGCGAGTGCGAACTGGTCCTTGCTTAGCTTCCCCATCTGTCTCGTGTCGGCCAGGGCCCTGCAGGGAGTGGGGCGGTCACACGAGGACACGAGACCCCAGGGCCGGCCGACGGCTGTGAGGACACCGGCTCCCGTCTCACTGGCACACAGATGACGGCAGCCCTTCCTGTCTGTACTCTGTGCGCCTGGGCTGCTGTCCTGACCCCATGCGGCCCTTAGCGGAGGGGTCCCGATGGGGCCTGGGGCTCCGGGAGCTCACACTCCACCCCTGCCGCTCGAGCCGCCACAGGAAGATGGCAGGCTGCGCCAGAGGGACGGCGACAGCCAGCGTCTCTGCCACGAGGCGCCGTCTGTGGGGATTGGGACAGTGTCCACAGGACGAAGGCCTCTCCCGAGCCAAAGGCGCCGCCGGCGGGCACAGCCATACCGCATAGCACAGAGCCCACAGCTAACGCGCCCCGCCCGAAGGCACTGTGAGGGGTTGCGGCAGCCCAGCCCTTGTTATTCTTTGAGACAGTCTGGCTGCGGAGCCCGGGCCGGCCTTGAACTCAGGACCCTCCCGCGCCAGGTCTGGGATGGCTGGTGTGGCCATCGCACGCGGCTCCGCGGGGCTTTCTCAAGTCCTCCAGCCAGGACGACACGGAGCCTGAAAGGCAGCAGGCCTGGCCCCGCAGAGCTCCGCGGAGAGGCACTAAGGAGGCGGCGTGCCGGGCAGCGCGTCCGCTCGGCTGCGGCCCCGTGCCTGCCCCCCGGGGCTGTCTTCTCCAAGGCGCGCGTGTGGTCGGCTCCCAAGCACCCTCACGAGCTCCTATGTCCAAGTCCCGCGTGAGTCACAGCAAGGTGGTCAGGCCAGGGCAGGGGACAGCAGGTGCAGCTGTCACAGAGAAGCTGAGGGCTGTCCCCCGCAGGGCCACTCTTGAGGAAGCTCAGGCACAACTGGCTCCTACCAGTCTAGGGCCTGCAACCCTGCGGAGCTGTCTGGTCTCACCACTCTGCTCACAGGCTTTCTTTTGTTTTTGCGAGTAGAGGGTTGAACCCAGGGCCTTCCTGAGCCACATCCCCGGCTTTAATCTTTTATTTTGAGATAGGGCTGAGGCCAGGCAGTGGCACAGGCCTGTACTTCCAGCAATCAGGAGGCTGAGGCAGGAAGACTGCTGTGAGTTCGAGGCAAGTTGCCTAGGCTAGGCTGGAACTTTAACGCTCCTGCCTCAGCCTACGGGCATGTTTGCCAAAGAGCTCAGCTAATCTCACAGCTCTCCACGGAGGCCTTTCAACGGTTCCAGGCTCTGAGGTGACCTCCCCTGGGAGCGAAACTGAGGGCCCAAGGTGGGTGGCACCGTGACCTCCAGGCCTGCCCACCCTCGGCCGTCTCCACAGAGCCCCGGCCCCAGGCGGCCCTGCTCACCAGATGTGGGCCAGCAGGCTCTGCGTGAGGCCCGAGTGCATGAAGATCTCTTTCACCTCCTGGCCGCTCACATATCCGTCCAGGTCCAGGTCGGTCTTCAGGAAGATCTCGTCAAAGCGCATCTTGTCGGCCACTGGCACCACCCAGGCCACTGCCGGCTGCAAGGTTGGAGCAGCTCAGCAGGCCGCCCGCATGGTGCCTTTGTGATGAGACTGGGGGCCGCGCATACCCTCCCAGGGCTCCGAGAGCCGGAGGGCCTGTGCACAGGGGACGCAGGCTGGGGGCCAGCGGGCGCTGTCCTCGGCACACTGCCTTCCCCGCACGTCCACCAACACCCCGCCGCCCACATCAGGGACATGAGAAGGAGCTGGTGGCCTCACAGGGCACGGTGGCCTGGAACCCGAGCACGCCAGCCTCTGTGTGGACAGCTGGCTCTGCAGGCTGCTGGGCGCCATGGTGCCCAGGCCAGGCTCCCTGCACAGCGTTCTCCAGCCCAACCCCATCCAAGAGGGTGCCGGGGATCCCCCACCCCTCGGGGACCCACGTAATGTCAGCACCCGGGGGAGATGGATGTGCAGGTGCCCAGGGCAGCCCGAGGCCCTGCTGCCAGGGTCCTCCCTGCTTTGCCAGGGCCGTCTGTGTCCAGCCAGTGTGGCACAGGGGACCTCAGGAAGTGTGGGATACGGCTGGGGGTGGAGGAGCGCTGGAGCTCCCGGCTCCCGGCAGCCTGGGCCTCGTTCCGACGGCTGCTCTGGCTCCAGGAGCAGCGCATCTCTGGGGGGCGGAGGCTGCAAGGAGCTCCCCTCTTGCACCCGTCTCCAGGTCCCTGCGGCCCTCTGCAAGGCCACCCCAGTGCAGCTCCACACTGGCGCCCAATGCCTCAGCCACAGCGCCCGGCACAGGTGCCAGACGGCAGAGGCGCAGTCCCTTCCGCAGTCTGCACGCCATCCCGTGGGCGCTGCAGCTCCAGGGTCCCCAGGCTGGGTGCCAAGAGTGACCAGGCTACCGCCCTGGGCAGGGCCTTGAGGGGAAAGAAGGTAGCAGGTCTGGAGGCCCCGCAGGTGGGGATCAGAGCCGAGCCAGAAGCAGCGGCCCGCCCGGCCCCGCCCCGCCCCGCGTACCTGTGCCTGCTTGAGGCCATGCTTGGGGGACAGGCTGCCCGTGCTGTTGAGGCTGCTGACGCTGCCATGCGAGGGTGTCGAGCGCAGGCTGTCCTTGGGCGGGGGGCTGCCAGGCAGCACGGGCACGGCCCCGGGGAACACCGGCTTCTTGCGCTTAGACAGTGGGATGAGCGCCGGGGGCAGCACAGATGGCACGGGCTCCTTCTCCAGGGCCCGGTACACCAAGTGCATGGCCTGCGGGTGCAAGGGACAGGCGATAGGTGGCGGAGCAGGGCGAAGGAACTTGTCTAATCACTGAGTAAGCCAGGTATGGTGGCGCACACCTGTAATCCCAGCACTCGGGAGGCTGAGGCAGGAGGATCGTTGTGAGTTTGAGACCAGCCTGGGATACAAAGTGAGCCCAAGGTCAGCCTGAACTGCATAGCAAGACCTTGTCTCAAAAAGACGACAAAAGAAAAAAAAAGTAAAAGTCTGTCTCAAATAAGTGACAGAGACGAGCTCAACTGTAGCTCTCTCCTCTTCCACAGGTTCTGCCGTTTCTGAGGTGGTTCTCAGGCTGTTCCTCAGTGACGGACACCCAGGCGGGCCTCAGCTTGAGATCCTCCTGCCTCAGCCTCCTGAGGAGCTGGGTTTGAAGGGCCCTGGCTTCAGGTCCGTTTTTATGGGACAGCTCATGGAGAAAAGAAAAGCAGACCTCAGGACTCTGGGATCTACTCGCAGACCAACACAATCCTGGCAGAAACCCTGAGAAATGCTCAAACACCACCGAAAAGGAGGTAGGGACAGGACTGGGGATTTAGCTCAGCAGCACAGCGCCTGCCTGGCAAGTGCGAGGTCATGAGTTCGATTCCCAATACCGGGGGGGAAAAAAAAAAAAAAAAAAGGATATAGGGACTCAGGAGGCTGAAGGGGAGGCCCGCTCCTGGGGACCCCGCTGCTGGGCCCTGGAACCCGGAACTGTTCGAGGACAGGGACAGGTGAAGCTGATGCAGCCAAAGGAACGGGGAACAGAAGATCAGAGAATCCCAGAGATGCACAGCGGCGACACCTGTGCAGTGTGTCTGAGATTCTGCTGAACTGTACACCAAAAACGGTGACTGTGGTAAACCTGATGTCATGTTTTACCACAACAAAAACGAAAAATATGTTTTCTAATGGTTAGAACGGCCAGCCATGAAGGTGTGTGCCTGCAATCAATCTCAGCCACTCAGGAGGCTGAGGCAGGAGGATCCTGACTTCAAGGCTGATCCCAAAAAGTTAGGATGACAAACTTCATGTGATTCTTATTTTACTACCAAAAACATGTATCGATAAAGGACAACCAGTGAGAACAACAAGATGATGGGAGAAACACAGAAAATGCTCCCAGTGCAAAGGCTGAAGCCAGCAGATGCAGATCAGGAAGAAGCAGCTGCAACCCAGCCTGAGGTATGGGGTTGGAGTCCGCACTTCCTCAGCTCCAAGTCAGCCCAAGAGTTTCAAATCACAGAGGCCCTGCACAGTCCCAGGTCCCACGCGGAGCCCGAGTGTAAGGCGTTCTCATAAAAGACAGACATGAGAATAGATGTGCACCTCACATACTTTTGTTAATCAAACGCACGCAAGTTTATTACAAACCAAATGAGAACAAACCAACGTCTCCTTAACTGTAACATGAACGCACATGTGCGTCAGGATAATCACTACATTTTGCGAACAGTGTCAAGGGCTTTGTTCTAGCTCGGTGCAGATCTTCTGCCCTGTCACAACGGCGCTGAGCAATCCCAGACACCTGATTTTGTTGCTGTGGTTTGGTTTTGGTTTTGGTTTTTTGAGACAGGATCTCACTGTGTAGCCCAGGCTGGCCTTGAGCTCACAGTGACCTTCCTGCCTGAGCCTCCCTAGTGCTGGGATGCTAAGTGTGTGCTACCACCCTGGCAGGAACACCTAGTTTGATGCCGTGTTACCCCCAATAAACCCTTTGAAACAAAGGTTGATGTTATGGCCATTAATACAATGTACATTAATTCAATCATTACTCAAATAGGAAAGGTAAAAACTAATTCACTCCTTAAAAAAAAAAAAAAAAAAAAAAAAACACTCTGCAGGCTGAGGCAGGAGGATCGCCGTACATTTGAGGCCCAGTGTGGACTACACGCAGCAAGTTCAAGGCCAGCCTGGACTACAAGCAGACCTTATCTGACAAAATATGAAAGGGTTTATTCACATGTAAAAGTAAGCTGATCCTGAGCTTCCCTCATGTGTGTTGTGAAATAAATCACCCCTCAGAGGTGTCCAAAATCCCAACAGAGGATGTATCTTGGACACACAGGTGCCATGTTCCTAACCAAAGCCCAAATTCCTGAAGGCTCTCAATTCAACCCATCTGACACAGTGAGGGGAGGCCGCGCAGACCCAGAGGTAGCTGTGCTCAAGGCTGACCCCCAGGCCAACGCCCCATGGGCTTCAGCACGGCCGCACTGCACCCAGGCGGGACGGGGGAGTCCGTGAGCCACTGCGCTGGGCAGGGCGTGCGTGCGCGAGGGCTGCAGTCCCGCTCGCAGGAGGCCGCAGAGCCTCGCCAGCCCGCACCGCACCGCGAGGCATGAGCGTGAGCGTGAGCGTGAGCGTGAGGACCCAGCATGGTGGTGGGAGGCCGGGCTGGCTCTGCCCTGTCTGCGCCCCTCAGCGCGCAGCTGCAAGCCGGTCCCCAGGGAACAGCGGTCACCAGACAGCAGGGCCAGGCTCTCCTGCTGGACAGTGGTGCAGGGAAACTGCCTGTGCTCCAGAAACACACACAGGTGTCTCGGGCTGAAGCTGGTGCTGCCCCTCCTCTCTAGGACAGCTCCGAGCGTAGCTCTAGAAGTGAAATCCAGGGCTTCAAACATGCTAGGCTACTCTACAACCGAGCCACCTCCCCAGTCCTTTTTAAAAATCTCACTAAGTTGCCCTGACTGAGCTCAAACTTGTAATCCTTCTGCCTCAGCCTCCGGAATGCTGGGACGACAGGTGTGCAGCACCCCGCTTGGGCACGGCGCCCTCTGACGGGACGAGGAAGGGCAGAGGAGCTGTGCTTCAGGGGGAGCCCCAGGAGAAGGGCAAGCCTCTCCGCCCTATGCGGTCGCTGCGGACCTGCAGCAGGACAGCTCTTAAACCACAGAGGCGTGGTGCCTCTCGGCCCCACAGGGCCCCCGCCTACCACAGCAAACTCGTCGCGGTCCAGGTGCCCATCTTTGTCGATGTCACTCAGGTCCCAGACCTGCAGGCAGAGCAGAGCAGAGTGAGAGCCAGGGCCCGAAGGACCAGGACAACGCGCGGGGAGGGCCGGGCAGGACCGGGCCTGGACCCAGCGAACGCTGCCCTGATGTGCCCTGCGGCATGGTGAGGTCGCTCCTGCTCTGACCGAGGCCGCATCCGCAGAGCTCAGGTGCTGTGGTGCGGGGACTCACACCAACCCCTCCCGCATGGCCAGCAGGACAGGGCGCCACTGCGCCCTCAGGCCCTCGGCTGCTATCTGTGAGACGCGACCAGGCACAAGCAGGCTCCGGCCCCAACTCCTCAGGTCCGCTGGCGCTGCTGGGAGCTGTGGCTACCGGACAGCCACTAGGCGCCAGTGCTCCCCTCCTTAAGCGGCCCTGGGCCTGCACAGCCAAGAGCCGCAGAGGTGGGGCGCGCCTCCAGCGCCACCAGCAGGCTGTCCGTACAGGGGCGGCCCGCAGGCGCAGAGGCGGCCCGCACTCAGGAGGGCGCCAGCCCAGGCCCTGCCCGCCCCCACTTGCATCCCCGGCTCCCCGCTCAGAGCCTTCCGGCTCCGCAGGGATGGGGGGCCAGCCAGAGGCTCTGAACTCCACAGCTGGGCGTTCTCTGCGCCCGCCGGATGCCACAGGCCCAGTCCGCAAGCACCTGTGTCTGCAGCGAGGGTCCTCACCGGGAGTGTCCCTGGGCAGCCCACCGGCTCCCCTCGGTGGAGGGCGCAGCACAGGAGGGCGGGGGGATGGCACAGCCCCACTTCTCACGGAGAAGCAGGGGCACCGCACACAGGCTGCAGCGGCCAACACCCCGGCCTCCCCGTGCCAAGCGGGTCGAGCTGGGCCTCTCCCGCTCCTGCAGGTCGGGGCGGCCTGGGAACCCTGCGCCCTGGGCGGCGGCGCCCGCAGACTAGCGTCCGCCTTGCTCCCTTCCCAGGTACTGGACAGGAAGCCGCAACCTCGTCTTCCTGCTTCTCGAGGCGGGCTCTCACCGAGTCACCACGCTCCGCCCGGCGGCCACTCACCCTGCCCAGGACGTCGAGAGGCAGCTTCGAGTTCATGAGGACCGGCTTGACCTTATCTCCAGACAGCAGGCCCTTGACAGGCAGTAGGCTTTCAAAAATGCCATCGAATTTTGCCTTTTCCTCCACCTGGCGGGAGAAAGTGCCTGGGTGAGGACAGCCGCGCCAGCACGCGCCTGGCACAAACAGAAGCCATGCCCCACGAGCGGCCCTCTGGGGACCTCAGGAAAGGAGCGCAAGAGGCCTGCTCTGCCCTAGCTGCTGCCCAGGGACGCAGGCAGTGTCCCTTCCCAGGAGGACAGGCAACTCCTGCCGCCCCACAGGCTTGCCAGGAAAGCAGCGAGGCACTGACGACCAAAGTCAGCTCTACACACGGGGCGTGTTTCCAACAGACAAAAGCCGGGCACTGTGGTGTGTGCCTGTCACAGCACACTGGGAGGCTGAAGCAGGAGGATCCCAAGTGCCAGCCCAGCCTGAGCACCTAAGAAACCTGGCGAGACCTTATATCAAAACAAGGAATTAGTAAAAAAGTTTGGGGATATGGCTCAGTTTAAAGACCCTGGGTTCCATTCCCAGTACTGCAAAAAATGGAGTAAATTTTACAATGTGTCTATTATACAACAATTAAAAATTTTAGGGCTGCAGTGTGGCTCCGTGGCAGAGTTCTTGCCTGGCATGTGTGATGCCCTGGACTCCATCCTCCCACAAAATATACAACAAATTAAAAAAAGACGGCACCACCCACACAAGAGGCCACACACCAGCAACCCAGCTCCAAGGCCTGCACCTCTCTGTGGGAGCTCCCAGGGCCGCCGCTCCCCACGGCCAGTCCAGCTGCTTGGCCTCTGGTGCTGAGGCCCCAGGGTAATCTGGCTCCAGGGGCCAGGACATCTGAAAAATCAGGTCTCTCCAGGGCAGTTTCTGGGGACAAAGCCACTCCTTGTACGAGTCCAGACTGGAGACTCCCAGGCCAAGGAGCTGCCTCTCCCAGTAGGCCAGGCCGCCCTGGGAAGCCGGGTGACAGAGGAGGGCTGTCCTCTCACAGGAGTTCTCCTAATGTGGGGGCTAAGAAGTAAAAGTGAGCCTAGCGCAGCTGTGCACCTGTGATCTCCGCACTTGGGAGGCTGAGGCAGGAGGATCCAGGAGAGCTCGAGGCCACGTGGACTACACAGTGAGTTCAGGGATAGCCTGAACTACATAGTGAGACCCAGTCTTAAAAACCAAAGAAGTAAAAGTGAGAATGTGTGGGCTGGGGGACAGTTCAGGGGCGAGCCCGTGCTGGACATGTGCGGAGCAGGACACGAATGAGCAGGGGTGATGTGTTCTAACAGGCGGGTACAGACCTGAACTATGAATCTTTTTCTTCCTTCATGGCAATGGTGATGGAGCCCAGGGCCTTGTGATATTCCCAGCCCTTTGTATTTTTTACTTGGAGCCAGAGTCTTGCTAAGTTGCCCAAGCTGGGTCTGGGCTTGCCATTTCCCTGCCTCAGCCTCCCGAGAAGCTGGGATGCCCGGAGTGGGCCACCTGCCCAGCCTGTGCGCCGGTGATGGCTCTGAGCAGCCCCGAGAGCCCCCGTCACTCACCCGCACCGCCCAGGGGGCCTCCGCGGAAGGCGGCGTGACCATCAGGGGGCTGCTGGTGTCGTGCTGCAGAGGAAGAGAGACGCACTGGCTGGCACCGAGCGCGGGCACGGAGGAAGAGCACGCGGCGCGCCCTGGACCACGCAGGCCCTCGCACATGCGCTCCTCGGCGGCCACGTGGGGAGAAGCGCTCGGCGCCCAGCAGGGCGAAGGGTGGCACAGGCGGCCGCGGGAGTGCACAGAGCCCGACAGCCAGGACGGAGGCAGCGGGAAGCTCAGGAAATTAACGCAACAGAGACCAAGAAGACAATCCAGAGAGAGTGAGTCCAAGCGTCGGCTGTTTGAAAGATTACACAGAATCAACAAACCCTTAGCCAACCCCGCCAAGGAAAGGGAAGATGCGAGTCCAGCGCTGAGGGATGAGAAGGCTGGGGCGGGTGACGGAGACCTCCAACCAGGGAGAGGGTGCAGCCCACAGCAGCTCAGCGGGCCGCAGACACGCGGAGTCCACGCCCCGACGGGAGGGGAGGCGACAGACAAGGGGGCGCGTGCATGTCCGCAGCACTGCACTCACAAACTTGGGCGGCGGCATGGTCAGGGTCAGGTTGCTCAGCGTGACCTCGTGGCCGCTCTGCGCACAGGCCACCAGCCTCAGCGCCACGTAGAAGCCCTGAAACCCAAAGGGCGGCGTCAGACCGCGGCCGGGCTGCGGCTCCGGGGAGGACTGAGGCGCCCAGAGCTCTGCTCGAGAGGGGCCCGCCGACTCCCCAGGGCACAGCGGCTGGAGCGCGGACAGACTCTGCCGTGCACCTCCAGTCAGGGCAGCTCCGAAACCCTGGGCCAGCCCGCTCCGGAGAGGCGGGCTGCAGCACACAGCGACGGGCCGCAACGGGCCAAGTGTGAGTCGGGCATAACACAGTCGGAGCCGGGCCCAGCGGCACCCACCTATTGCACCAGCACTCTGGGAGGCTGAGGCAGGAGGATCTCAAGTTCAGGCCCACCTTGGCACCTCAGCAACTTTGTGAGACACTGTTGCATGCTAAAGAAAACAGGGCTGGGGGTGTTGCTCAGGCAGGGGCTCTGGGTTCCACCGCTGGTGTCTCAGGGAAAACCCAACCTGTGTGGGGGCTGGGAAGGGGGCCCAGTGATTCAATGACGGGGCCTGCACGGCTCCATCCCCAGCACTGTGAGCCTGGAGTGGGCACGGGGGCATGCTCAGGACTCCTGATCCCAATCCTCTACGGTCCAAGTGGCATCGCTCCCTGAGGGACAGCCGGTCTGAGCCAGGTCACTGCGGGCCTGTGCTTCCACTCAGCCCTCCTGCCCAGGGCCCAGCCCTGCCAGAGCCTGGCGCCTCCGAGCCTCGCCCAGGGGGTCCTCTAAAGGCCAACTGCCCGAAGCACACACACGGGCTTTTCCTACGTCTGTTCCCTCACTGCTGGGGACGAACGCAGCGCTTGCACTGAGCTGCATCCCAGCCTTTCCATTTTTTTTCCCAGCCCTTTCTAAAATCCCTTTCTCCCGAAGAGTCTCCCTAAGTGGCCCAGGCTGGACTCAAACTTGTGACCCTCCTGCCTCAGCTGACTGAGGAGCGGGGATGACAGGTGTGCACCACAGGACATGACCACAACAGAAAACTTTAAACACCTTTTAATCACTGGTAAACTTGCAAAATATCTAGATAGCCACCCAAGAGCAATGGCTCCGACAGAGGGGACCCAGACACAGAAGTGCCCCCAACGCGTGCGAGCACGCGTGCATGTACCTGTTTGTCCAGGAACCCTTTACCTTCTGGGTCCGCCAGGTCCCATATCTGCAGACACACAAAGCAGCCCGTGAGTATGATGAGGACCACGGTCCCACACAAAACCACCTCTCCCGAGACCTGGCGCGGGCCTGTGTCTGCCCGAGCAGCCATGCACAGCCAGGAGCCCCCAGCACGTGGCATGCAGGGACACCCAGCCAGCCTGGCACACCCACCTTCCCGAGGGTGGTGTCCGGCAGCCCCGACTTCTTCAGGAACAGCGCAGCCTCGCTCGCCCCGACTCTGCCTGTGTAGGCCGGGTCCACCTGGGGAGGCAACGCGGCGCTGAGCCCGCAGCGAGGAGAGCACGGCAGCCCGACGCTCGCCTCTCATAAGGCCCCAGCGGTCCCAGGGGCAGGGCAGCGCCCCCCAGCTCCCAGACAGAAAGGGTCAAAGCCTCGGGTCCCACTCACCTGCTTGTAGTAAGAGTCATACACCGGATTCCCACTGGGGACCTGCAAGGAAGCCACAGACACTGTGAGGAGACCCCACCAGAAGGAGTGTCGCCCACGTCAACCTTGCCCCCAAATCCTGGGCTCAAGCAACCCACCTGCCTCAGCCTCCTGACGGAGGGAACTGCAGGGGCACGTCATGGTGTCGGTCCCCGACACAGTCATCACCAGAACAGACTGGCAAAGGCTGAACCTTGCACACGACAAGCGCCGCCCCAGCCCACAGGAGTGCTCTCTGCCGAGAGCAGGGCGCTGTCTCCAGGGAGCCCACCCGGCCCTCCCAGCCCTCGAGGTGGCTGCAAGGCAGGGCCCACACTCACGGGGTGAGTTCTGCCTCCCCACTGCTGAGCAGAAGGACAGGCCCTCCCCCTGGCCTCCCAGAGGCGGGAACAGCTGCCCGTAGGCAGCGACATGGCCTGCAGACAGCCCTGCCCCAGATGCCACCCTACAGGAACCAGTGACTCACTGGGGTCTGGGGTCACGCGGCTGACCAGAGTCCGTGACCACCGGCCACTGCCTGAGGCAGGAGGGGACACAGGTGCCTGGGGGGCCTGCGCAGCCAGCACTGTTGCAGCTCCACAGGTGGACCCCGACCCAAGCGGGGGACACGCACAGAGCCGCTGCCAGCCACAGGGCCGGGTCCTGACGTGAGCAAGTTGGCACGGCAGAAGCGGGGAGACAGGCACAGCACTGGGCCACCTGTGGCAGAGGGCAGTGGGGAGGGACAGGGACCCAAGGGCACAGCAGAGCAGGATGACAGAGCCTAGGGCTGCTGGGCACACGGGCCCTGGGCTCCAGCCCCGAACAGCAGACAGAAGGACCAGGAGGGGAAGCACGAACTCCACAGGGAGAAGCACCAGAAGGGGCGGCCTGCAAGCCACTGCCCCAGGCCCTGGAGCACGGTGCAGAAGGGACAGGGTGGCGTCACCCACGGCTGCTGAAGACCTTCCCACACGACACGTCCAGCCCCACAGTGAGTGACGTGAGCGGACCTCCCCACGGCGGTAAGGTCGACAGGAAGGGTACTGGTCAGCCGGGCCGCTGGCAGCCTGGCAGGAACGGGGAGCATGGCTGGGTGCAGAAAGAAAGCACAGGACCTGCCCCGCTCACAGACGGACAGACCACACCTCAGCCGGCAAAGCCACCCTGGCCGACAGAGTCACAGATGTGAAGCTAGGGCCAGGCTGCTTTCTGGGAACACCCCATAGTAAGTAAGAAAGAACTTGCAAGCTATTCCAGTTCCAGTGGGAAAAGACCCAGGTGTGCTGGTACACGCCTGTCATCCCAGCGCCCAGGGAGGCCGAGGCAGGAGGGTCGCACATTCAAGCCCAGCCCGGCACTCAGCCACTTCCAGAGCCTGTCTCCAAAGTGCTGGTTGCTAACTCTGCTGAACGTGCCAAAAGCTTACTCGGGACCAGACCCACGACCGAGGGAAGCACGCAGGGAGGACTGGTGGGGCCTCTGACACTGCCCACGACCCTGGGACTAGCAGGGCCGTCCAAGCGACGCCCAGGGAGGGCTGCTCTGGCACTGCAGAGTGGCTATCAGTCCCAGGCACCTGGGCTGAGGGACAGTGCAGGGTGAGCGTGAAGGAGCACACCAGGGGCCGCACTTGCCAGCAGCCCATGTGCCACTGGCCCAGTGACAACATGCCCACTGCTAGGCCACCAGTCCTAGCCACAGCACAGCGCCCACCGTCACTCCACGCGCAGTTTTTTTTTTTTTTTTTTTTGTCTTTGTGAGACAGGGTCTTGCTGTGTAGTTCAGGCTGGCGTTGGGCTCACTTTGTTTCCCAGGCTGGTTTTGAACTCCCAACGATGCTCCTGCCTCAGCCTCCCAAGTGCTGGGATTACAGCCACGTGCCACCACACCCAGCCTACACTTTCTTACTCAGTAGAACCGGGTCTCACTGCAAGAGTGAAAGCCTGTCAGCAGCTGCACAGTGAGAAGTATAAAAATGCACCAATAAGCTAGTGCGTGCTGGCGCACGCCTGTGATCCTGGCACTCAGGAGGCTGAGGCAGGAAGATCACTGTGACCTCAAGGCAGGCCTGGGCTACACAGTAAGACCCTGTCTCAAAAAAAAAAGGCACCCAAAGTATAGTACAACAACTACTGATAATTTCCTACCCCTTTTGTCTGTAACTCACTATTATTTGTCTATTTGCTTTCCTGAGAAACTATCTTGTAAATAACAATATGTAAAACAGTAACCATTGATAATTTCCTACCACTTTGTCTGTAATTTGGTAAGCACCCCCTATTATTATGTTATCCTTCTTTTAGTCTTTAAAATAAAAATTTTTTTAAAAAAGCACCAAATAGTACTTTAAAGCTATTGATATTGTAATTATAGATTGATGGAGACCACTATGTAGTGGCTCTGAGCAGAATTTAAATTAACCAATTGGCTTTCTTTGTTTACTTGTGAGTCTGTCTGAGGCCTTGGCCCTGGAAATGGGCAGCAGACTCATAGTAAGTGCACCTCTGTGAGTTCCTGGTCTCCAGTGAGCCCTGTAATGACAGGTGAAGCCCTAAAGCCCGGAAGCCTCAAAGGATGAGACAAGGCCACAGCTAAAGACACCTGGCTCCAACCCCAACTAACTAGGTAAGGACTGTAGCCTCAGGCATCTCACTCCACTTGGAGACCTTCCTGGAGATAACATAGTTCTCCTACGTTAACACAGTCTCTTACTTGGAGAAGCCCTTGAGCTGACCTCCAAAGTCCTGAACTCCTCTTGAATGTCCTGCCTTTCTTCAGTATCCCCTCCTTTGTTTGCTAACTAAATAAATACCAGGCCCCCAGAGAAGTTCTGTGTCTCAGCTCCCAGAGCATTTTGAATTCCGCGAGAGGGTTTTGATCCTCCTGGAGCCCTAAAATCCTACCACTTGTCTCTTTTATTTAAGCCTTCACAGCCCACTGGTTTGGGAGACTGCCGGCCTCATCAGTCAGCAATAACTAAGTAATAACATTAACGCCTTAGAACGGCTGCTTCTTTATTATTTTTTGGAATGAATAAAGTTGTAATCATTGAACTCGGAAAAATCAGATCCTCTGTCTCTCTTGTGGCTCTCTCTGGAATGAGGATTGCTCCCAGGGCCTCTGCACTGAACTACGTCCCCAGCCCTGTACTTATTTTTTTGGTCACCATGGTGTCCAGGACAGAGGACAGGAGAACTAGCACCCTCCTCTGGCCTCAGGCTCCAGAGTGCGTCCCCAAGCCCGGCTGAGCGGCTGACTCAACCTCCGTGAGCCCTGTCTTCCCAGCCAGCGTGGCCACAGCCACACTCCCTCCTTCCTGGGCTGCTTTGCGCACTCGCAGGGCAGGACGTGCAGGTTTACAGAACCCAGCACCCTCCCTTTGCTCCCTGCGGCCCTGGGGAGAGGCGGAGAACACAAACTTGGTTGTGCTTGGTGGTGCTGGGGTGGAACTCAGGAGCCCCACGCAGGCAAGTGCCCCCCACTGAGCTGCTCCATGCTGCTCTGAGATGCAGCCTTGCTGAATCACCTGGGCTGGGCTTAAACCTGCAATCCTCAGCCTCAGCCTCCTAAGGAGCTGGGTTTACAGGTGCGCCATTACACCTGGTTTGAGTGCATTTTCGCCTCACAACACCTCTAATTTACTGCGGGCTTACTGGGTGAGTCAGGGCACATCTGTACGTGTGCTCATGTAAAGGAGAATGGTGATGGCAGCTCCAGGACAACAGCTGTGTGTGTGTGTGTGTGTGTGTGTGTGTGTGTGTGTGTGTGTGTGGTGCACGCTGAGCATGCATGTACTCACCAAGCTCCCCCAGCCCTACAGTGACATTTCTTTCCTCTTTCTAGAGACAGGGTCTCAGGGACTGCTCAAGCTGGCACTGAACTTGTGGTACCTGCAGTCTTTCTGCCTCAGCCTCCCAAGTGGCTGGGACGACAGGCGTGTGCCCCATGCCCGGCACACCGCACCTGACTTAGCACTCCCCTAAATGATGTAGGGCAGGTGACAGGAGGAGCGCTCAGGCCGGGGCCCCGTCGGACCCCAGCCCTGCACACGCTGCACACAGCCCAGGACTGACAGCCCGAGACTTCAGGACTAACAGCACAGCTGAACGCGGCAGAAGAGCAGGACCAACCAGAACGGAGAGGCAGCAGTGAGCAGAAAATGCACTGCTCACGGTAATTTCACAGTGGGTTTGGTGTCCTTGGGACCGGATGTGTGTTCAATCGCAGCACATTTACATGCACACCTAGCAGCCTGAGGAAGGACCTGGCTGACACAGGCTCAGCCAGGCACCTTGCTGCCTCACCCACACAGCCCACGGGGCCCTCCTCATCCCTGAGGTCAGCTGTGCAAGCACAGAAAAAGGGCCAGCCAGGCGTGGTGGTGCATGCCTGTAATCCCAGCACTCGGGGGGGCTGAAGCAGGAGGATTGTTGGGACTTCGAGACCAGCCTGGGCTACAAAGTGAGCTCAAGGCCAACCTGAACTGCATAGTGAGACCCTACCTCAAAAAGACAAAAAAAAAAAAAAAAAAAAAAAAAAGGTCAGCAGGGCACGGCGGCTACACCTGTCATCTCAGCACTTAGGAGGCTGAGGCAGGACAACTGCTCCAAGACTGAGGCCCGCCTGGGTCACACAGCAAGTTCAGGTTCAGTCTAGTATACACTGCAAGACCCTGTCCCCAAAATAAAAACAAAACAAAGAATGGGGATCAAATTGGGGGTTGGGGGTGAATAGAAGACATAAAGACAGAGGAAGGAGACGAGGAAGATCCCAGTTCACAGCTCCTCGAGGGAGGACAGCTAACCTGCAGCACAGCCGGCCAGGCCTCCCTGCCTGCGCCCCCTGGGCTCCCCATGCCTCCCGAGCACCACACCCCAACCCCAGGCACTGCAAGCCTAGCAACTAGTGCAGGAGAAATAAAGGGCAGAAACTTGACCAGAAGATAAAGAAATTCAAAGGTTTCAGAGTAGTGTTTTGAAGCAAAACACGGTAAGATCATTCATCTTTTAAAAAAGCCCTGGCCCTGGCTTTGTCCTTTCTTGGGAAACTGGGCCGCCCTTTCAATCTTACCCTAACTCATTCATTACCCTTTATCTGTCTCCTGTAGGAACAAGACAGAAACTTTCTATGCATTCACAAGTCCCTGAGTTCCACTACCAAAAACACAAACATCCCCAGCACCAAACCATGCTGAGCCCTTCTCAAGGGCCTGCGCTCCATGTTTTTCTTTGAGTGTGTACATTTATTTATTTACTCAGAGACAGGGTCTTGATATGCACTTCAGGCTGGCCTTGAACTCCTGTAGCCCAGGTTGGCTTCAAACTTGCATCAACCATCCCATCTCAGCCTCCCAAGCGCTGGAATGACAAGCGTGCACCACCACGCCCAGCTCCCAAGTGTGTACTTCTAAAACTCTAACAAACCCCTTTATGCCTCTTAAAAAAAAAAAACTAAACTAAACACAGCCTGGCACAGTGGTGCACATCTGTAATCCACTCTACGAGGCTGAGGCAGTAGGATCAAAAGTTTGAGTCCCACATGGGCAACTTAAGCAAAACCCTGTCTCAAAAAAACAAAAAGGTTGGGGCTGTAGCTCAGTGCACAAGCCACCCCCCACCGCTCACTCTAGCCAAGCAGGCCGAGGAGCACGTGCGCGGAATACAGAGGGGGCAGGCGAAGGCCGCCCGCCGGGAAGGCCGTACTGTGCCCTGCGGGGCTCAGGACAGCACGCTGCCCTCTGTGCTCCCAGGTGCATGCACACACAGCCCTGGCGCAGGGACAGGTACGGACCCACACCGCTTCCCCACAGCCTCAGGTCGGAATCCCAAATGGAGCTCGAGAGCAGGGCCGCCCGCACTGACACAGGCCCAACCACTCAGGACGCGCACGCGCACACCGCTGCTCCCGCACTGGGCGCCTTCGTCCATCCGGCATGGGCCGCCTCCTGGCCTGGGTGCCAGCCACCCAGTGCCAGCCAGCCGGTGCCCACAGCCCAGCTCGGAAAGGCTCGATCCTTAGACCTAGCTGACGGAGGTGCTGTCTGACCGTTCCTCCATACAGTTCTAACGCCTGCTTGCTCTGCAGCTGGGGACGGGAGCCAGGCCCTGCTCACCAGGCCACAGCACTTGTGCCCACCCTGGGGCAGGGAACCAGGAGGGGACATGCAGACGAAGGGCTGGCTGGGAGGGAGCCCAAGAGGCTGCTTACCGAGGGGCCTCAGGCCATGTATGGTGGGGATGGCCATGAGTTCGAGGCCAGCCTGAACTCCACAGTGAGACCCTGTCTCAAAAACAAACGAACAGAAAAACCAACAAAGATGCCTCAGTCCCCCCGTCACAGCACAGTCCCAGCACTCACCAAGTGCTGGCTGTGCCAGAGCAGATGGTCACACCCTCTCTTTTTCTTACGTTTTTTTTTTTGGTACGGGGAATCGCACTCACAAACTCATGCTTGCCAGGCAGGCGCTGCACCGCTAAGCTGTATCCCTGGCCCCTCACTCACTCACTTTCTGAGACTACCTCTTGCTTTGCTGGCCAGGCTGGCTTCAAACTCACCCTGCTGCCTCAGCCTCCTGAGTGCCTGGGACCACTGGCACGTGCTAGGCCCGGCAGTGAGGTCAGTCTGAACACCACCAGCAAGAGCCTGTCCTGAGAGGAAAGGCTGACCCAGGGCCTGGGCCAGCGAGCGAGGGGAGTGGCCCAAACTGCCTCAAGAGTGTGTCACGCGCCCGGCGGGCAGCAAACCGGTGTGGGGCAGGCTCCAAACTACGTACGCCCCCGGGCAACGGCCAAGTTTGGCTCCTGGTCACTCTCCCCTCTGAACCCTGGCCTCCATGAGGTCACTTTCCTCCTCTGTGGGGCGCTGTGGATGGAGCCAGGCACCCCCTACGGAGAGGCACCCCAGCCTGGAAGTCGGCGCTCCCTAGGCAGAGGACCTATGCCCCAATTCTGCCTTTTCCAGTGGAGAAAGAACCCAACCCGGTGGCCCGGCGGTGAGCACGCCCGCTGCGCACAGGCCCTGGCTCCAGCCGGCCCTGAGAGAGGAGTGAGGAGGAGGACGGCGCACGACAGGAGCGCTCGTGCTGTGCTGCCGCTTGCTGCGGGCACAGTGCAGGGGACCCAGCCCCGGATGGCACCCGCCGATGCCCATCTCTTCCCACGCCCTCGCCTGCTCCAGTGCGGGCCCCACACTTCCAGGGCTCCCGGAAAGCACGGGTGTGGGGCCTCCCCGTCCGCAGCTCCCGACCGGTGAACACTATGCCCCTGCAGCTGCTCGCCGCACTCTGCAGCCTGGTCCTGGAGGCGCTGACGGGTGGGGGCCGCGGGGTCTGGAGGAGGGTGCTGCCCCGAGCCGCGGAGGCCACAGGCACCTGCCACGTCCCGCAGGCCGCAGGGAGGAGCAGGAGGCCTCTTCCTGCCGTGTGGCAGCTCTGGGCCAGCCCTGGGGCCACAGTGGCGGCTCAAACAGCCTGGGGACCTCCCGCCAGATCTGCCCTTTGGTGTCCCCACCTGCCCCGGCCCCACGGGCGCTTCTTTCTCCTGCTTGCTGCCCCGCTCCGAGGCCCCTGTCCCGACAGCCAACCCCACATTCTCCCATCACCGCCCTCTCTTGTCCCAGCAGCCACCTCAGGTCAGCCTCCTCCACACTGCTCCAAGCTGTACAAGTGGCCAGATGCTCTGGACTCCAGTCCTCAAGAACTTGCTGTGGCTCCCCACTGCCTCCTGTCATGTGTGCACACCCCATGCACTTCATCAGCTCCTCCAACTAGGACAGACAAAACAGGCATAGTTCCTGCTCCAGGCATAAGGGGCACAGAGCAGCCAGCAACAACCCCAGAGAAACCCTGAGTGGGGTCTGGACAAGCACAGGTATCCATCCCCACTGTCAAAAACGAAAAGGCTTCCTCGCATGCCTGCAATCTCAGCACCAAGGGAGGCTGAGGCAGAAGGATCACAAGTCTGAGCCCACCTGGACGACTTAGCAAGACCATGCCTCACAGCGAATAAACAGGGCTTGGGATGCAACTCAGTGGTGGGGAGCCCCAGGGTTTGACCCCCGGTCTTGCAAAATTGGAAGAGCAAAGACAGGCTCCCTTTAGGATGCAACGGCCCAGCTATGAAGGGGAAAGGGCCAGAGAGAGACGGCACAGAGGCCAAAGGACCCAGGGCCAGGGAAAGGCATGCGGGCAACAGGAAGCAGAGCCCTCAGAACAGGCAGCGCTGGGGGAGCTGTGGGCATGCGCCCTGCTACACAGACGGCTCCGGGGCTGCTTCTGCAGCCTGCGGCTCCCCCTCTACTTCCAGCCACCGTGGACTGCAGGAGGGGGTGCTGCAGGGCAAACCCACCGTCTGGTTGGCCAGGCACAGCAGTCCTCCCTGCTAACCAGAACCCACGGCTGAGGCAAGAGGAGCTCCAGTTCAAGGCTGGTCTGAGCAACACACTGGACCCTGACTCAGAAGCAAGGGTTAGAAGCCCACAACCCACATGGCAGACAGCACCCGGCAGACCTGCGGCCTCTACGTACCCCGAAGCCCATGGAGCCCCACCTGGGCATACAGCAGCCTCCGTCGCTGCTGCTGTCCCCGTGGGCCAAGCAGGCACCAGGGCCTCCTTTGTTGGGGTCATCCGTAGCCCAGGCACTCACCTGCCTGCCTGCCTGCCAGCCCAGGGGCGTCGCTTTCACAGGCAGCCACGCCCCTGCCTGCCCCAGTCCCAGGTCCCAAGGTCCCTCTTCCAGACAGCTGCCTCCCAAGCCCAGCAGGAAGCCTCCCTGGCACACTCCCCAGCTCTGACGCCTGGAGTCTGGGCCTGTGCCTCTGGGAGGCCCCGGGCAGAGTCGACTCTCTCCCACCACCCCTGAGCACGCCTTCCCCTCCTGCAGGCCTGAAGCCTGAAGCCTACTGGTCCAGCTTGCCCTCTACCATCCGGGCTGTGCTGGCGATTCCAAAATTATAACACACTGCTCGAGTCCGGCTCAGGGGTAAGCACTTGCCTGGTGTGCCCCAGGCCCTGAGTTCCATCATCAGCACTGGAAGAAATCTACTCCTCTAGGGGCTGGGGATTTAGCTCAGTGGCAAAAGCGCCTGCCTGGCAAGCGCAAGGTCATGAGTTCGGTTCCTGGTACCAGAGAAAAACCAAAAAAAAAAAAAAAAAACAAAAAACACACCTACTCCTCTATACAAATAATAGTATGAAGAAGAACACTTTTGGGCTGGTACATAACTGAATAATACAGCACTCGTCCAGCATGTATGAGGCTCTGGGTTCCAACCACAATTTCGCACAATAAATGAATAAAAAAAAAGCCAGAGGCCAGGTCTGGTGAGGCATGCCTGTAATACCAGCACTCGGGAGGCTGAGGCAGGAGGATCATTACGAGTTCGAGACCAGCCTCGGCTACACAGTGAGCTCAAGGACAGTTTGAATTCCATAGCGAGACCCTGTCTCAAAAAAAAAAAAAAGCCAGGCACAGTAGTGCACACCTGTCACCCCAGCAATACGGAAGGCTGAGGCAGGAGAATGGCAAATTCAAGTCCAGCCTGGGCAACTTGGCAACTTAACAAGAGCCTGTCTGAAAATAAAAAAGATGGGGACATAGCTCAGTGTGAAGGTTCTCAGTTCAGTCCCTAGTCCCAGGAGACAAAGGCAGACCCCAGCTCTCTGGTACTGCCAGACTCGATGCCAGCCACCATCCCCGCAGCAGCTGGGCTTAGGGAGGCCCTGCCAGCTCAGACTGGGGCAAGACACACACATTCTTGCTTAGCTGGGCAGTTCAGTTGACAACGCCCAGGCCAACGCAGGTCACCCAGAGAAGCCAGGGACGCCACTGCTGACCGTGGCAGAGCCCCACTTCACCCTAACACCCCTTCTCTCCCGGGCTGCGTTTTGTATTCAAGTAAGGTTCGAGCAATCATCTTAGAGGAAGAGGAAAAGGAACACAAGCTCCAGGAGGCTGAGCCAGTGTCCGCGTCCCCAGCACCGCTCCAGACACCTGGGGGGCTGTACAAGGCACAGGACCCAGCGAGCCTTCTGCAGAGCCGGGAGAGGAGGAGAAACAGGCAGATGTGGGTTCAAGCCTGGAGCTGTAACCACCATGTGACCGCATCCTCGTATTGGTTTTTTTCAACTACAAAATAAGAACTAACCAGTCCTGGTGCTGCATACCTGTGATCCCAGCACTCAGGAGGCTGAAGCAGGAGGATCGTGAGTTCCAGGCCAGCCTGGACAACTGCAGACAAAGGGAAAGGAGTACAGGTATGCTTCGGGTTTGGAGCGGGCTGCACTCAAGGATGTGTTGTTGGAGAGGGACAGAGGCCCACAGGCACTGCAGGAACGGCTCCTGGAGAGGACAGCTGTACTCAGGGCCAGAAGAGACCATAAGGAAGGAGCAGGCCCAGCGGCTGGGCAACACGAGGCAGAGAACTCAGCGCCCCCACTGTCCACAGCCAGGCTGTCGGCCACCACCGCGCACCAAGCGTCCTCTGCCACCTCCATCCAGCCCACCATGCCCTGTTCAGCTTACCCCTGCTGCCCTGCACTCCACGGGTGCCCCCGGGTCATTACCCGTGCCCTGTGCCTGGGTGACAGGGATCGTTGGCACTGCCGCACACGAGAAGTGAGCGTAAGTAGCCAAGGCACAGAGAAGTGCTGACAGATCACTACAAGGAAGAAATCCTGGCCCAGATAACCTTCAGCCCCACGCAAGGAACAGGAAGCAGCTCAGCAGGTGCTGGCCGGAACTGTCAGATGCCTCAGGGTCCACCTCTCTCTTGCAGCAGTCCTGCACAGCCTGTCCCACCCACAGCCCATGCCCCAGAGAAGAAAAGCCATGTGTGACTTGCACAGGGCCTGCTCAGTGGCCCAGTGGCCATCTCCCGGGGGATCATGCCATCAGCAACCACGAAGCACCCAGCCTGGGGGGGCTCAGGGACACAGAGACATCAGGGGACCCTGCTGGACACCAAGCAGATGGGCAGCTGTGTGACAGGCTGCTGGTCACAGCGTGCCACAGAGGCCCAGGGAAGAACAACCTTGAGCAGCCTCCTGCAAGCGGGGCAGGGAGAACAGGAACCGTGCTTCAGAAAGAGGCAGAGCCAGCCGGTGGGGCACAGCGAGCGCGGAGCCCGGACTTCGGGTGGGCGGGACAGCAGGGCAGTCCCTCTGGCTGCAGCCTGCGCGCTGGGAGAGGGCTGCAGCGCACAGGGGGAGACACGGCAAGCAGCAGAGGCGAGCCGGGAACCGGACTCCAGGGCTCGCCTCACAGACCACAGCGCTGCCCAGCAGCCCCTCACCACGACACGAGGGCGCCTAAGGGTGCGGGCAGGTGACGGGCACAGAGCTCTGAGGGGCTCGAGGGACATGAGCTACTGTCATCACTCGATCCAAACACGGCTACTACTGAAAGACAGCGAGTCAGGAAAGGCAGGTCACACTCACAGAGAATTTTAAAACTCAGCAGTGCTTCCTTATTCACTGCCCCTACACACCCTGAAAGTGCAGCACTTAGCTATTAATAATAACACCTAGCAGGCATGGTGGCACATGCCTGTAATCCTAGCACTCAGGGTGTTGAGGCAGGAGCATCACTGCGGGTTTGAAGCCACAAAGTCTGCAGAGTGCACGTGAAACCCTATCCCAGAAAGAACCTATAATAATAATAATAATAATAAAACCACCTAATGGCAAGTATAGATGCAGGCGCTTGTAGCTATAGCTACTCAGAAGGCTGAGGCAGGCTGGTTTACAGCCAGCCTAGACAACACAGCCAGACTCTATCTCTGAACCAGTAATGCAAAAGGCCAGGTGTGGTGGTGCACACCTGTAATCCCAGCACTCTGGGGAGGCTGAGGCAGGAGGATCGTTGTGAGTTCGGGACCAGCCTGGGCTACAAAGTGAGCTCAAGGACAGCCTGGACTGCATAGACAGACCCGGTCTCAAAATGATAAAAAAAAAAAAAAAAACAAAACAACCATAAGCCAGTACTTGTATCTGTAGGAGCTTGGAGGTTACACAGCACTTTAGAACCTGTTACAAGAACGTGTTACTTAATAACCACGGACCTCCGGCACCATTCATTTAGCGACAGAGCTGCGAAGTGGTGGGTTCCTGCAAGACCTAGCAAGCATGCACGTCTGCCTGCCCCGGCCAGGGGACCACGCCTGCCAACTACCAGTGCCCCCCAGGCTTGGCACCGACACCTAACGCAGTCCTCACTCCCCAGTGACCGTGGGTAGGGGCTGAAGGCCGACAAGGACGGCAGCGGCCCGAAGTGCGCCCGGCGTTCTGTCCTCCCAGCGGCGCCCGGCCGTCAGTCCCCTTCTCCACACGGGGTGGCCGGGAGCTCCGCGCGGGGACACCGGACGGAAGGGGAGCGGGGCCGGGCCCCGCGCGCA